CACACACACACACACACACACACACACACACACAACTCCCAACGTCTGATTACTCCGTGTATGCAACCTGCTACTACCTCGTACACACAGATTTTAGTTGACAGCCTGACAAGTATGTGACAATATATGTTGTCACATATCAATTGACTAAAAGATCGTACTGCAAGAAAACAAAAAGCACTGGTGCTTGTTACATATCCATCGACTAAAAGATCGTACTGCAAGAAAACAAAAAGCACTGGTGCTTGTTACATATCCATCGACTAAAAGATCGTACTTTGAGAAAAAAAAAACACTGGCACTCAGCGCCTCTCAGTCATTGCTTGCTGACTAGACACATGACAGACACAGTCTCTGTAGATAAACGAGCCACACACACTAGCAGCAATTATGTCCAAGTGCCAAAGGCGTCAAGGCCTCCTTATGCTCCTCCCCCCCCCACCCCCCCCCGCCCTCTCCTTCTTCTTCCTCTTCTTTCTTAAAAGGGTGACAGCCCTGAGATATCATCGTGAAACTGATCGCCGCTAGGGAATTCAGGAATTCCGTTCATCTGGTTCAATTGACAGGATTTCACGTTCCGAACATCCCGAGTCCCGCTCTCGGAGTCACAGTTGGTCCCAGTCCCAGATGGTCCCGGTCCCACTAGGTCCCAGCAGGATATGCCCCAGGGCAGGTTCTGCAGGGTCCAGTAGGTTATTGGTCGAAGCGTTGTAGGTTGGGGCCAGGCCAGTACCAAAGAGTCAGATCGTTAGAAGTCAGGCCGAGTCCCAACAAGAAAAGTCCAGTCCCGACGTCAAAATTTGCAGCAGTGTCCCAAGAAATTCTGGAACATACTGGACCGACAAAATAATGCAGCATACAGGCCGCTGCAATCAGACTCACTTTCTGCTTCACTTCGCATACATGCAAACAGATGGCAATTCACACTGGCGCTGTGCGCCCACACAAAATTCTGAGATATGGAAACCGAGAACTCAGTTCAGATGCAAACTCGCGACACTGTGTCCACAGCCTGTTGAACTGTGTTCTCTGAGAGATGGAAACCGAGAACACAGTTCAACAGGCTATGGCGCATGAGCGCCTGTACATCCCACTCTCGACACTGTGTCCACAGCCACTGTTCACGCACACTCAACTCCGGATAACCCTGAATATCCCACACGCGTCCACTGTATCACACCCGCTCACACACACACACTGACACCTATCACTATGGCGGCTATGGCTGCCGGCTACTACTAACTATGGCACACTATCTCCTCCTCAGCCCACTTCGACTTCAGGCCTCTGCAGACCACCTCGCCCAAGACGCTAGAGCAGCGCTTCCGCATGGCTTACGCAGGAATGAATGAATGGATGGACGCTGCCTCTTGATTTATACTTCTGTAAGTCACTGGTCTGCCCCTTTTCCACCGGGCCCATGGTGCACACAGTCCCTCATGGTACTTGCTGACTGTACAAAGTAAGACTGGGACTGGGTACCGCTGACTAAGCAAAGTTGGACTCACCACTTGCCCTCTTGCCTCTGACTGAACGTGAGAACTTCTCGAAAGGCCACTTCCGTACCTTCTGGAAGTCTGTGGACTTGGCCTTTCGGAAGTGTAGCAGCTACGACCTTGACCTTTCAGGACTGTAGCAGCTACGACCTTGACCTTTCAGAACTACAACAGCTATGACCCCTACGCAGGTATGACCCCTGCTTCGACAGGTCTAAAGTTCAAGACCCGACACCTACTCAGACCTACGACAGACAACTTTCAACTACTAACACACAGGTCACGGGTTCAAGACACACAGGGTCGACTCGATACTGTACACAGGTAAGGTGAGGTAAGGTAAGGTCTGGGGATCGAGCCCTCGGATCCGCATCTGTGACTGCAAAAGGGTGAAAACCGTTTCACCGCGGGCAACCGGTAACGATAGACTACATGCAAATCAGATCTACCTCCCTTTTTTTTCCCCCCTTTTTTTTTTCTTTTTTTTTTTTGAGGTTTGATTCCAGGAGGGATGGTCTCGATGGACTTCCCATTAGGGCGTTCCTGATCATCCTTTTTTCTTTATTTTTCTTTTCATTTTTCAGGTAGCTGGCAAGGCCAGACTGGCCAGAAGAAGGGACCTTTGCACCCAGCCTTTGTGGCTAAGTGGTACACACATGTAAACATTAATACGCAGGACATGAGTTTGAGAAACTTTGAGTACTGATTGGATCCGATGGAAACAATAAGCTTCCTCTTTTCTTTTCTCTTCCCTTTTTCCTTCTCCTTTTTTTTTCAAAGAAAAGAGGGCGACAGCCTTGATATATCATCTTTGAAATTTGAATTGACCGACCCCGGGTAAATTCAGATTTTTTTAGTTTCGCTCATCTGATTCCATTGGAGTTCGAACTCAGGTCTGCATATTTCAATTCAACAGTTCACGGGTGTACCAACTGGGCTAGGCCAATTGGTTCTATCGGAATCTATACATTCTCGTCTAGAGAAAAGAGGTAGGGGGCTCTGCCTTTGCTTCACCACTACGTCACCGTTTAACAAAAGTAGCGACAAGCAGCCTTTCCTTCCTTCCTTCCCGTGATGTTTTTCCTCATAAATAAAAAGTGCAGGAACATCAGTTCATACTTCAGAAGTTTAAAACCACTACTGCCTTCTCTCACTAATCGTCCCAATGCCTGAAGACAGGAGGTGAAATTTGTGGCCATTCGATCGTCAATACAATGGACCAACAGAAAAAAAAAAGAAAGGCAGAAAGGCACAAGTGTTGGCAACAAGAGGGTGCTCAAAAAAATTCCAGTGGTTTAAGATGTTGAAGTACAGGCTATGACTGATTACGAAGATCAAAAGCTGAGATTACGTGATACGTCATCAACTACAATTCATAAACCGAAAACCGCAGGAGATTGATCAGCATAGACAAAAGGCAGGTGCTGCTGCTGCTTTAAACTCCAGACATCTGGGTTAACCAGCGGCATTCTTGTTTTTAACCTGTGGTTAACCCGTCGTTAAATGAAGCAGGTTAACCCGAGAACTCTGGTCCTGCTGCTGCTGCTACTGCTCCTGCTACTGCTTCGAAACTCTGTGCATCTGCACAGGTCAGAGCCTCAGAGGCCATCAGACATCGAGAGACTGCACAAGAGGTTTCTTCGGTGAAATGGAAACTCGTTTCGGAAGACGGTTTGCAAAGAAAGTTTGTGCCCAACATTTTTGCTGATGCCCATCGCTAAACTACATGTGTGCGCAGAAAAACAGATCAGGAGTTCGAACTGCATTCGAACTCAGACCACGTCAAGTCATCTATCCCCGTGCTGTTGTTTGAACCGAGGGGAAGAAGAAGAAGAAGAACAACAGTGATTGCTCTCTGGCCCATGTGGCTGAGAATGGTACAAACATGTAAGTGTTGGTAAACAGGTCATGAGTTCGAAGTCCAATGTAATCAGATGAATATAATATAATTATGTATGCTACCCCTTCACAAAAATAAGAATAGCAGAACACTGATTGCTTCCATATGGAAGTCCCATTGAGTTGTACTGAGGGCATTTTACTGTTTCTTTGTGTGCACACAAAAGGAAAATGCGGATAGGCAGCGAGATGGAACTCGAAAAGCAAGACGGTCATGAACTACCGTCTTCATCCGAATAGAATGTACATTTGTACGGTCATTATCGCCGAACCTAGACTGAAAGTTGCCCCCAATTGCAGCGATAATGACTGTACAACGTGTACGTTCTATAACTTCCGGTGAATACAGTTAGATGCTTACTCACCTCTAAAGGGAGCTCCGGCTCATGCATGAGTTCGGACAGATCGGTGACTTCTGTGCCCAGCATCTCGCCCAGCTTAGGCTTGTTTCTCATCTGCCATGTCCTCCCCTTTCCTCCGTCCTTCTCCTTGATCTTCCTTAACTTGCGATGAATTGCATTGGAAACCTTGTCGATGCTTGCATACATTTTCTCCTCCTCCTCTTCTGCTCTGATGACGCCGTGGTGCTTTGTGAAAATTGTGACCTGGAAATAGGAAAACAAATGCCGGCAATGGCAAGATCCAACATGCAAAGAGGAGGAGTTTAGAGCCAACCTTTAGGAGGTATTTGAATTTTGAATCGATTGCGAGTGCTTCGGGACATCCACAAAAAAAATGGAACGATACAGAGAAGATTAGCATGGCCCACGCGGCGTAAAAATACAAATAAAATTATAAAAATGAAAATGAAAATGAAAATGAAAAAAAAAAAAAGAGAAACGTCGATTTGCGATGAACTGACAAAGCCGGAGGAGCATTCTGTCCGGTTCTTGCTGTTTTACCAATACAAGGAGAGGCCAACCAATACAAGGCTATGCCGTGGGGCATACAAAACAGAGGAAGGGGTATGGTATAGAGAGCTGGGGAAATCATGACCTGATTAACGACAGCCGCTTACTTTCTTTTCTTTCTCTCTAAAAAATAAAATTGGAGCAATTCCCGATTTGTGCATGTCATTCTTACACAAGGGCCATGCTAATCTTCTCTCTATCGTTCCAATTTTTAACCGATGTTTCGAAGGCCAACAACAGCTACTTAGTACTGACTACCTTCTTCCCCCGAATACAATGTACGGTCATTATAGCTGTATTTAGACTGAAAGATACCCCAAATTCAGCTATAATGACCGTACGTTCGTTGTATTCGGGGAAAGACTGTAGTCAGTTACCTTACCATTCAAGCTTTGAACTCTGAGCTAACCGGGCCTCTCCCCAGACCATCCACCATCACAAGAGAGGTGAAGAGAGTCAAGAGACCCAATTCTTCTGTTTTTTTTTCCCCTTTTTTTATAAATAAAATAAAATGCGAAGACCCACTTCTTCCTTTCATGGATATATTATTATTTTTATTATAACTAGTATTATTATTAAACTGCGAGTACACGGCCCCAGCCTTGCAGAAAGTTTTTGTTGCCAGACGCAAAACTCGGAGGCGCCGCGCGCCAGGCCCGCGCGTTGAAAAAAAAAAATTGGCGGCCTCCGAAGTGGTGTGGGTTTCATGCCGACACCCGCGGGCCAATATGTCGTGTAGTGGTGCTTTAAACCACCAGTACCCGTGAGGCCTCCCTAAGCCTGCGGCTGTATACGTGGTGCCGGCCTGCCTATGGCCGGTTTGATGTACCGCCCTGCCATTATTTTGATGCACCAGCCTGCCTATGGTTGGAACCACCATTGGAATTTTTTTCAGAGTGGTCTCATTTCCACTTGTCGAAGCCCTCTGGAATTCAGAGTTTGACCGGTTTTTACACCTGGTTTACACCTTCGACCGGTTTTTACACCTGGTTTACACCTTCGACCGGTTTTTACACCTGGTTTACACCTCCGACCGTTTTTTACACCTGGTTTAACACGCGCCGGTCAAAGGTTGGAACCACCTTTGGAATTCAGACTGGTCTCATTTCCACTTATCCAAGCCCTCTGAAGTTTTGTCTTTAGCATTGGAGCGGCATAGGCCCTGTAGGGTCAACCTTGGGTATTACTGATCACAGAGATCAGAGCAGCATACTCAGAAAGATGCGATTGCCTGCCACAGGTCCACCTGCCCCGCATAGCATCAGAGTGTGTATAGTCTGTCTACCTGTCCCTTTTTCAGTTTGCCTATCCGGTCAGGCTGTCAGTCAGCCTGTCTCCCTGTCTCTCTGCCTGTCAGTTTGTCTGTCTGCCAATCTGTCAGTTGTGTCTGCATGTGTTTCTGCCTGTCAGTTAGTTAGTGATTGCGTCACTCTGTCTCTTTTTATAGCTTATCAATCACTATGCCAATCAGACTGCCAGTTTATCCATCTATCAGTTTGCCTGTCTGCTTATCCGTTCATCCATCTCTGTCTTGTTGCCAGTGACTTTGTCAGTTGGACACTATTATATGTCCATCTGTTTGTCTTCCACTCAGCCAGTGCGTCCATTAGCCCACATGACTGCCTATATGGCTGTCTGTCTGCATCCTTGCCTTCCTGTCTGCTGCTCCATCACCTTGTCAGTCTGTCAAGTGAGTCCGTAGGTCTGTCTGCCACCGGTCCAAGGCCCTGAAAGGGAGCCTCCGAAGGAATGTTTCGCAAGAGTTTTTGTCAGTCTGTCTATCCACCATTCTCTCTGTCCTTATCTCCATGTTTATGTCTATAGTCTGTCTATTTGCCTCTCAGCCACTCTGTCTGTCTGTCTGTCTGTCTGTCTGTCTGTCTGTCTGTCTGTCTGTCTGTCCGTCTTGTCTGTCTGTCTGTCTGTCTGTCTGTCTGTCTGCCTGTTTGTCGACATTCCCGTTCATCTGTCTTTAACTGCCCCCCTGTGAGTCTACCTCTGCCGGTCTCTCGCCAGTTCTTCGCCTTGATGGGGCGTCTCTTGACTGTTTATACGATACTGCCCATTTGTCAATAGGTCAATCCCTTTTCCCCAGGTGTATGTCTATACAAAACCTGCTTGTCTCTAAGCCAGCCTTTGAATCACTTCATCCGTCTGCCTGTCACTTTGTCTTACCGCCTCCTTCCCTCTGCCTCCTTTTTGCCTGCTCTGCTTGCGTGTGTTACCCTTTCTGGGCTTTCCCGCTTGTGGTAGTTTACTGGCTGCCTCGGTTCGCTTCTATTCACTTGGCTTCCCTCCCGTCCCTTTCCCTCCCCTCCACTTCCCATCTGCTTACCCTCCCTTTCTCTTCCCCTCCCTCCC